AGAAGAGCAGGGAGTGAGAGCAGTGACCCTGCTGCCCGGAGAGAGAAGGTCCACAGTAGTCAAGCCAGACAGGTGAGCACGCTGATCGAGGAGCGGCTGCCAGGCAGGACTGGGCAGGGGCCAGACCTCCGTCCTCCCTCCACGCGCCAGATCAGGTCAGGGTCCCTTCAGGGGGTCTGCTGCTCAGGGCCCGGCCTAAGCAGAAGCAGATCTCTGGGTACACTGTCTGCCCCCCACCCCTGCTGGTTCTCTGCCCACCACTGTAGGGCAAAGAAGGAACCCGAGTCCCAAGTCTTTTACTTCTGATTAATAGACAAACTCGATCTGCTGAAATGAGAGATATAAAGAAGAGCATCTTGCTTGACCTCCAAACTCCTCTTCTGGGTAGAGTTTTTTATCAGAGAATATTGTAGGACTCTTCACCCTGGGAGCCAAGCTCTGGGCTCTGGAAGGCAATGCATGGGCCCATGGTGGGTGCATGTCTCAGTGTGCGCCTGGTGCGTGCTGCATTTCCTAGGACCCAGGCTCTCACATGAGCCTCACGTGCCCTTCTGGCCTTGCTGTCACTCTCCTCCAGGGACACCCACTTTTCCTGCCGCTTGGACTCTCTTGCCTTGGCAATGGAGTCTGATTAGCTTTCCGTTATAATTCTGCTCTCACCAAGTCTCGGTCCTTTTGAGATGTTTTTTTTTTTAAAGAACCCAGAAAAAGTAAAGCTGACTTTACTTTGTCAAGTGCTTTGACAGGCAAGTCCAGACTCCATCATTCTCTGGGCCTGGAGCATAGGTCATAGATTGCTGGTGACATTTCAGAGTTCAAAATGGAAGGGCACGGCACTTCCTGACCCCAGGAGTCCTTTGAGGATCAGAATCACCACCTCTCTAGCCTCTCTCTGAGGGATGTAGAGAAGGCCTGCCAAGCCGTGGGCTGTGCTGGACACACCCAGCACATCTTCCTGTCGGGAAGGGTGAAGGACACTGGGGGCTGGCTCCAGCCCTCTGCTTCTCTGGGGAGACCTCCTCTGGCCAAGCTGGCCTCCTCACTAAGCCCTCAGCGAGTTGTTCCCATACCTCCTCCCTCGGTCCCTACCCAGCACCGACACCTACTGCACGGTGAGTCAGGGGTTTCCGAGGTGAGTGCTTTTCTCATGCCCACTGCATAGGTGAGAACACCTCGTTGGGAAATCATACAGCTGGGAAGCGGTGCAGCCAACGCTTGAACCCAAGCAGTCAACCTCCAGCGCCAGCCCCACCAACCCGCCAGCCTGATCTGTTCACTTTCACTTGGAGACCAGGCAGCTGGTCAAGGGCATGGAGCAAGGAGCTAGGCTGCCCGTACTCATCCCCTGGCAGCTCCACCCTGTGTGGACACCTGAGAGTGTTACCAACCCCTCCACTCATGCGCGTCCTGTATCTGGGCCATCGGAATGGGGCTGGTACTGTTGTCTCCTTAGCAAAGATGGCCTTTGGCCCTGGCCCCACCCTGAGCCCAGTCTGGAGACTGGGAATCAGCCCTAGCCATGAGGAAAGACAACCATCCAAAAAGGGTCACAGGACCCAGGGGGCTAATGTCACAGACCCCTTCTCCAGTACAATGGCTGGCACTGTGAGTCCTGTTGCAGGGACTGGAGGTCATCACCATCCCTCCTCTAGCTTGCTCTGAGCCCCTGCCCAGTTCCAGCTCCCCCGCTTACTCCTCTCCTGCTCCCATTGAATGTGCATGTGGACTATATCTGCCCTGTCTTCTCGCCTAGGTCCCACCGGTGAGATTTCTTCCCCCAGCTAAGCTGTGAACCCCTTAGGTGAATCGACTCTATTTTCCACATCCTCCATCTCTCTGAAAGCCCCCAATGCAAACATCACACTCTCAAAACACCCTGGAAATGAAGGGAATTGGGGGTTGGAGGCTTTGATACAACATTATTTAGTTTTAGTGGAGGTACAAATTGGAACAGTGTGGGGGGCTGGGGATGCAGACTTGGATGCAAATGTATGCAAACCACTCCGCAATGATATGCAGATGTGTATGCTGCTTTGTGGGAAGGAGTCCTATGTCTGCAGAGTTCTGGTCTGGCAGGCTTTGCTCTCTGGGGGCTCCATGCCTGCAGGAGACCTTGCCGCCTTGCATGGCAATGGCTGGGAGCTGGCTGCCACACGGCATCCTGGCGCCAGTGCGAACCATTTGGGAATCTGTGTTGTCTTCTGCTCCTCTGTGAAGCTGCTCCCACCCACCAGGGCAGAGAAGCTGACCGGAAGCTGTGAGGACAGAAGCCTGCCTGAGGAAGTACTGGGGTGTTATAGAGCTGGGGACCCCTGGGTTCCAGGAACACAGCTCTGGGGAAACAGAATCTAGACCAAGAAGCAAAGACCACCCTGGTATCATTTCCAGGGTTTCAGACTCTGTGTCAACTCTGCTATGACCACCATTCCCAGCCCTGTGCTGGGCTGCCCACTGGGCCTCAACCGTGCTCCAAATGGACAGTGGGCCAAGGTAACCAGAGACCTAGAGGCTCCCTCACACTGATCACCATGGTGTGGGGGGCACCTCTCTGGCCAGGCACTTTAATCATATTATATCACTTAATTGTCAGTGCCTACCGGGCAGGCAGTACCGATATGCTCCCATTCTTATGGATGAAGGGACAGAGAGCAAGGTCCCCTACCCTACAAGTAGTGCAGCTGGGATTCCAACACAAATCGCCATTCTCCAAAAGTGGCCCTTTCACCTGCCACGACCTGCCTCCCCTCCCATGCTACAGTGGCCAAGCTGTAACAGCTCCCGCAGAGGTGGTGTGAGGAGAGGAGTGAGTCCATGGCTGGAAGGGAGAACATTCTAGATCAATGACCGGAGTTTCCCCTCCACACACGATAAGCTGAAAGCCTCGAATGTCTCCCACTCAACCCCAGTGGCAATCGCCATTCCAGTATTAGAAGTTCACAAGAATCACTCACCCTGCTTTCCTTTATTCAAAGACAAGTCCAGCTGAAGGTGGTGATGAACGTCTAGAACCCCGCACTCTGGGAAGCCAAGGAAGACAGATTGAAAGCTGAAGTCCAGCCTGAGCAACTTAGCAAGACCCTGTCTCAAAATTTAAAAATTTGTACACAGGGCTGGGGATACAGCCCATTAAAAAGCCTTGAGTTCAATCCCTAATGCTGCCCAATAAATAAATATGTCCTGTTGGAAGACAAAAGAAACCCAGAACAGTGGGGAGATCGTGGTGCCTGCAGAGAGTAAAGCATGTACAAAAGGGTGGAGATCCCAGAAGGCAGATCCTGCCATCAAATTCAGTGATGTTATAGTCCTAAGTGGTGACATCAGCACAATGAGCCCAGACACCATTCCAAGAGCACCGTGTAGTTTTTTCCAAGCAACCACACACCGTATCTGTTACCAGCAGACATCCAAGAGTGGTAGTGATTCTAAGGAGGAGGAGGAGGGTAACCCTAAGAAGTGGAGAAGTGGGACTATCATCCCATTTTACTGTCAGGAAAGTGAGACCTCCCGCCCCCCAGAGGTTATAAGTAACTCAAAGCTAACAGTGGGTAAGTGGCCCTGTCACCATCAAGAAGTCAAAAAAGAGCGGAGACAGGAGCAGAAAGGAAAGCCCAGAGCCTGGGAATCTTAAGGGGGCTTTTCCAGGCAGCCCAAGAACAGGGTTCCCAAGCAGCAGGTGGGCACCCAGTGAGCCAGGCCGGACAGGGCTGGCACCAACCCTAGTGGGAGTGGAGGTGCCAGTTCTCACCGGCCAGCCAGCCCGCCAGCTGGAGAAGCCTCATTAGGATTCCTCAGCCCTCCAATCCATTTCCTTCCTGGGGAACAGGATGGCTAATGGCCTATTGCCCGCTGCCAGGACGAGGCAGGCTGGACTGGAGTAGGACTGACCTCTACCAAGCCTGGGAAGTGTGCTTCTCTCCTGCCTCTGCGAAGGGACCATCCCCAATACGAGCCGAGGTTTCCCCTAGTCAGAGACCATCTGCCTGTCTGTCTATCCAGCCCCTCCCGCCCCCACCCCGCCGCGGTCCCAGGGGCTAGGGAGTGTGGATAGATGAACACAGGCTGTGGGAAGCGTCGGAGATTAATGGGTGATGAAAACCAGACTCCGGCAGGATGGGGGTGGGAACAGAGAGGCAGAAGGAGGCTGTCTGCTTTATGCTTAGCTCAGCTTTGAGCCCGCAGCTGGAGTGAGGAGGAATGAGGCGGCTGAGGGCTGACTGTGGCACACGGACCCGCTCTGCAGCACCCACCAGCACCCCTCAGCCTGGAGGGCACCCTCAGGGACTCATTTTGGAACTCGCAATTGCCCTCAGCGCACTTCTCTTTCTCCACAGCTGACAGTGCAGGAAACAGCCACACTCGGCCCCCTCCTTTATGAAAAGGACCAACTGTCCTGGTCCCAGCCCAGGGCTCCTCTCAGCCCTCAGTCCCAACCGGTGACAGCTCCCATGACCTGTCTGCTCACAACCCCAGCTCTGTCCTTAGCACTGGCCCAAGCCAGCCTTCACCTTGAGACTCCGAAAAGTTCACGTCTGGCAGATTTTCCTCCAGAGTCCTTGACACAAAAGCTCCATCTGAGAGCATTTAACTCCACCCTCCAGAGCTACAAACAGTCAAGAGAAACCCAGCCAGAAGTGAGGCCTGTGCAGCACAGCTCTTAAAGACAGATGTCCAAGCAACCTGGACAGCGCCCTTTTGCCCTCCCTGGCCTGTCTGGCCCAGCACCCAGGATGTCCCCTCACCCCCAGGGTGACCCTCTCACAAACAAGAGTCTTTCAGGGGCTTCTTCTCATGCCCTTCTCCCAGGGTCCTGGGATTTAGCCAGGGAGGGTCTAAAAGAAGGAACTGGCTAGAGACAGAAAAGGAAGTGGCTCGGGGAAGGAGTATCACGAAGGCACACTGTGGCAGAGGACTTGAGCTGGGGCTGCCCAGCCTGCCTGTCTGAGAATGAATCCTTCTGCTGGTAAGCAATGTTTCTAAGGCAGGCCCTGTGGTAAGGAGAGCAGTGTCAGCGGCTCCCTTCTTGCCTAAGGGTTCCTTACCTGTTGGCCTTTGCATCTTTGGGTAAACTGAGGCTTAGGAAGGTGATCCATCCCACCCTCTTCCCTTCACTGGTAAGTGACAGATCTGAGTCTCAAGACCAGCAGATGCAAAACCTCCTGCTTTCTGGAGCTCTGCCCTGCGCAGGGCTGGGGCGAGTGAACTGGCCTCCATCTGGGAAGGATCAACTTTTTAGAAAAGGCCTGATGTGGGAACAAGAAAATCTTCATGAAGGCTTTTTAATCAGGGAAGCAGGAACACACAGTGACCTTTCTCCTTGCAGGCTGTTCTGGACTCCCAGGAGGTCCTGACTAGGGGCTTGAAAATTGTTAAGGAAGCAAGTGCACAGTTTTAAACATCCCGTTCTGATGGGGAAGAGGCTTTCGCTGGGGTGGGGGAGGGGCTGGACGTTGCTGCACGGAATCCCAGTTCCTGTGTCTTCCCTTCAGAGCCCAGAGTTGTCATCCGAGCAGAAGAAAGAGGCTGAGGTCACTGTCCACAGTGCAGCTTTTCCTGGAGAGCTTTGCACTCTTGCAGGCTGTGGTGCAGGAGCAGCAGGGTTTGATTCTTATGTCCAGGAGCAAGAGGTAGGCCTCACCCTGGGTGGGAGACAGACACGTTTGGCCAAAGCCAGAGTGTCTGCGGTTGGCTCATTCGTGGCTGTTGGAGGGGGAGAAGTGTTAGCAATACAAAGAACCCTAGAACCAGCGATGCCCTGGACCTGAGCCTCAGCTCAGCACCCGCAAACTGAGCAGCCCACCTTTCCTGCCTCAATGGCGCAGTGAGAGGCACCTCCACATTTTTTTGGGGTGCAATGCAAAAGTGGAAATGTATTCATTTTCTATTGCTGCAGAAATATTGCCACACAGTTAGTGGCTTAAAACAACACCTGTTTATTATATCACAGCTTTGCTAGTCAGAAGTCCAGGTGGGCTCAGCTGGATCCTCCACCTGGGGCCTCACAGGCCCCAAATCAAGGAGTGGGCTGGCAACAGAAATTCGCTCCTGTGGCTGCAGAACTGAGGTTCTGCTTCCCTGCTGGCTGTCAGCCAGGGACCTCCACCAGTTCCTAGCAGCTGCCCACTCTCAGGTCTTTCTACACAGTCCCCTCCATCTCTGAGTCATCAAAGGTAAGTCAAAATTTCCCTCAAACTTAAAGTCAAAGACTTCATGTCCTGTCACTGACCAGAAAAAACTGCTCATGGGATAGGTCTGGCCCACATACCAGATCATCTCCCTTTCAGTGAGCTCATAGACAGACAGAGCGTCCTTGAATTTGTGATCCTCCTGCCTCAGCTTTCTGAGTGGCTGGGATTACAGGTGTGTACCACCATGTCTAGCTATAGTAATCTTACCTATGTTTTCAAGCCTCTTTGCCATATAATGTTATAGAATCACGGGTTCGACATTGCCCCCTTTTCATGGGTCAGGACGGAAAATCGTGAGGGCCTGCAGTTAAAACTCTGCCCACCACAAGAAGCAGAAGCACTTTGTTATCTCTAAATTCTGGACTTGACTCCATTGTGGACTTTCCTGTGGAGCTCAGAGGACAAGGGGCACGAAGCTGGGTGGCTTCTTCTTGCCCTTTCCTGTCACCTCCTTCCCCCAGGGCCTCTGGGGCTGGGCAGGCCTCAGAAGGAAGCCCCACCTCCGGTCATCCCCGCTCTCCAAGGCTCCTGCAGGGCTGTGCCCTTCCTTCCTGCTCGCTCAGGCTGCACACTTACGTGCCCCATGCGCCGTCCACACTTGCCTACTTCCTGCCCAGCCACCTGTGCTCTGTCCACTGGCCCCCAGGGCACCTGCCAGGCTGCAACTCCCAGGTCTTCTGGTGACACCTGGATGGAATCCGTCCCATAAGCTCTGCATTTCCCACACTCAGCCAGGTGCCAGGCGTGCAGCAGACCAGCTAACAAACCTCTGTGTTCCTCTCCCTGCCCCATACCTGGGTGTGTGGCGCCTCCTGCCCTCTCAGTGCCTGATTCCCAGGGCACAAGCTGTGCCAGGGCTCGGGGCGAGGTCCATTGGGATGCAGTTCTGCCAGGGGCCTTGTTCTGCCTCCATGGTACACCCCACGCCCATATATGTGCGTGCGCATGGGTCCCCTTGGCCCTGAGCTGGGGAGGCAGGACCCCCGCCCCAGGCCTCCGTCTGTCCCCGTCACTGCTCGTGCTGGCCTTGCTCTTTCTTTGGTCCGTCCTTGAATGGAGGCCTGTGTCCTCTCCCCCAGGGACCCAGCCACTTCCTCTTGGGAGCCCAGCCGAGGACAGTGTGGTTAGAAGAACGTTCTAATCCCAGCCCCAGAGCTCTGAAAGAAAAAATGACTAAAAACTCTGGAATGCGGAGCCTGCCGTTTCCTGTTGAAGCGTTCTGAATGAAACACGAACCAACAGCTGCAGGACAGAGAATGAAAACTCCCGAGGGGCTCGTGGCTCCGGCACCCCAATAGCAGGGCTGTGGGCAGCACGGACTCTCGAGGTCAGTCTAGTCCCGACACTCCCGGTGCCCACCCGTCCTGCTGTCCCCCCAGGATCCCAGGCTTGTCACACCAAGCATGGGCTTTTGTTGCTCACAGAATCAGCCCTGCGTCTTTGGGGGATGGGATGAAAATGCCACTCGCCAGCTCCCAGAGGGGCACTCAGACACCCTGCCATCTCAGGAGCAGAGAGTGGGCACATCCCCCACACAGTCACTATGCTGGCACTCAGCCTCTGGCCACGTGGGCAGTGCCATCAGCTCAGGCAGCGGTTAGGCAGCCTTCTCCACAGCTGGCTGCTCGCTGGGTGAGGTACAGCAGGGTTCCAGGAGGAGCAAGAGACCAAGAATCAGGGAATTCCTGCAGAGCACCCCTGCATAAAGCGGGGACACAGTGGCAAGCTTTGAGCTCTTTAGGGAGCTATAAACATGCAGCAGGCACACTGGCCTCTGTGGTGGGGTTCCACGAACCTCTACACGCTCTGAGCTCCTAATTCTACCTTTGAATTAGCCTTCCTTTTCTATGAAATACAGCCAGTGTTTGAAGCTCTCTAGACTTTTCCACTTGCTTCCTTCAAGAGAATTTGGAAGTCCGAAGGCCTTTTTTCACCAATCCATCCCTGTTAGTCCAAGCCGGTGGTGCTTTGGGCTGTCTAATTCTATTCAAAACATTGCTATGGCTTTCTATGGTTTCCTATGGCTGCCATCAGAATTCAGTCCATTAGTCAAAATGGACTCACTGGCCAGGTGTGGTGGTGCTTGCCTGTAATCCAGCATTTGGCAGGCTGAGGTAAGAGAATCACTGTAAATTCAAGGGTAGTCTGAGCTACATAGTGAGTTCAAGGCTGAGCTGAACTAAATAGCAAGATCCTGTTTCCAAAACAAAGTTCCATCCCTATAAGCCGTCTCTATCCCGCATCTTTGTGAGGCTGCTGAGAGGCAGACAGTGCCTTCCTTTACAGTTCTAGAAGCCCTTACTAGCTAACAAAGACAGTCTGTGAAGCATGCTCATGAAACACTTAGGGGCCTTTGTTTACCTGCATGATTTTATAAAGTATGCTGTCTTTCTGAGATTTTGACAAAGGGTCTTATTTTATACTGGGTTTCATCTTTGTCCTGCAGCCTTTTGATACTTTGAGAATATTTTCCCATTTGTGGAGCCCATAAGAAACAGATTTATTTTCAAACCCAGAAAATCCTTGACTCTTTTCTGTTTTCTATAAATTTTGCTGTAAGATTTCCTCTTTAATTCATCTTTCTCTCTCCTTATCATATGCAACTAAAATAAACCAGTTGATGCTTCCAAAAGTCTGCTTAAAAATCTCTTTAGTCCAAACCATTAAATAATTAGATAACTTTTCCAAGGTCCACATCGCTTCAAGGGACAATGTTGCTAAACTTTCTTCACTCATAAAAAAGGTCCTCTAGGGGCTGGAGATTTAGCTCAGCGGCACAAGCGCCTGCCTTGCAAGCAGGCAGTTATGAGTTTGATCCCTGGTACCGATAAAAAGTTTAAAAAAAAAAAAAAAAAAAAAAGGTCCTCTTTCTCTGGCTCCCAGGATTTTCTTCACTTTCCTTTAAGCTCTTGACAGCAGCTTGCTTAGCCACCAGGCTTCAAAGCCTTTAGGATTTCTGCCACCTCCCACAACCATGATTAGGTTGGTTAGCTACCTAATGGTAGCTTGGTACCAGCTACTTATTGTGTCGTAACAGACCATCCCAAAACAGTGGTCATAAAACCATACCAGTAGCTGGTCAAAGTGACTGTACCCAGGAGGCTGAGACAGGAGGATCACTGTGAGTTGAAGGCCAGCCTAAACTACATAGTGAGACCCTTTCTCTGCTTCTTGTTTTTTTATGTTTTATTCTGGTACTGGGAATTGAACTCAGGACAATGCAATTGCCAGCCAGGTGCTACATCACTGAGCTGTATCTCTGTCTCAAACATAAATAAATAAATAGAAGTCTTTGAATGAGCCACAGCAGTCATTCATTTTACAGGTGCATTTTGGGGTTGGCTGGGACCAGCAGCTCCCCCAGGATCTGTTGTCAGTTTGCAGCCAGATACAGGCTGAGATCAGCCCCAGCTGGTCCTGCTGAGGAGGACTGACACCTAGGCAGTTTGGCTGGGGCTTCTGGGTAGTGTCTGTCACTTTGTAGCATTGTGTATGGTTTCTCTATAGCACTGCCTCGGAGAAGCAGAATTTCTGTCAAGGCTGCAGCAGGTTTGCAGCCTGAGGGTCCCAAAGGGAACCCTCAGAAACTGTATGAATTTTTCCAACCTGATCTCAGGAGTTCCATGGTGTCACTTTGGCTACAATGGTTGGCACTCTCAAGTCCCCACCGAAATTCCAAGAGGCAGCCTCAATTCTTGACAAGAGGAGGGTCAAAGGATTGAGTCCAGGTTTGAAAATATGTAAGCGGCTAAATGATACACCCAGGTGACAGCGTTGAGACTGGAACCAGGTGTCCTGGTTCCAAACTAATCTACACCGCCTCCTGCCTTCCCCATCTCCCTCTCCTCCCTCCCTCCTCCTCCTCCTTCTCTTGCTCTCCCTCCTCCTCTGTCTTTTCCTCCTCCTTCTCCTCCTCTTCATCCTCTTTTCTCTTCCTCTTCTTTCTTCCCCCTCTTCCTCCTCTCCTCTTCCCCCTTCCTCAGGGCTGGGGATGGAATCCAGCACCTCGCCCTTGAGCTCCACCCTTGAGCCAGGCTGCTCACCGCCTGCCTCCTGCAGCTGTAGACACAGGTGGTCCACTGATGCAGCAGGGCCGGGGTCCCTGGCTTGGGACGGTTCCTGACTTGTTCCTCTTTCTTGGCTTCCTCTCAGAAAAGCTGTGGGAGTCACTGACTGCGGGACTTCTCCAACAGCGGAGGCTGCCTGGCTGCGACATGCCCACGGAGACCAGGGCTGGGGCTGCCCTCTCTCTGGGACTCTCCCTCCTGGAATCTTCCCTAGGGCCAGCTGCACCTTGAGGGCTATTTCTGGGTCTCCGCACTGAGGGCTCTGGGTGCCCTTGTAGCTCCCTCCTGGGGCCATTCCTGCACCTTTGCTCTAGTTTTGTCCCTATAGCAGGAGGAGAAGTACCCTTGGCTATTTCAAGAATGTCTCCCAGGGCTGGGGAGTGTCTCTGGTGCAGTGCCTGCCTCATTTGGGGAGGCCCTGGGTTCAATCCTCCGTTCTGCTGAACAGAAGAATGTCTGCCAGACCATTTACAGAAAGGCTTCCTCTAAATCCTCAGATTACTCATGAGAAGCTGCAGCCCTTGTGGCCTGGCCATGGAGTTTTCCTATATTTCCTTTAAAGCTTGACTCTGAACAGATTTCCACCCACAAAGACTTTGACATGAGCCCTAAAATCCTGAGTGGGTCTTGCGTGATAGTAAACCGTGTCTGGAACAGCTCTTGCATTCTGATGACACCTTGATGGACAGAAGATCAGCAAGGACACAAGTGGTGGGCAGTCGGGGCAGGCATGGAGAGTTCCTTAGTTTGTGCACTTCACAAAAGGCCTGGTCAAGGAAAGGGGTGGAGGGGGGACCCGAAACCCAGCCCCACCTTCCACCAGCCACACTTTCACCCTGGTGAAAGGCTATGTCTGTGGAATTTGAAAGAATAGCTTTTTCTAATTTGTTGCCCCAGAGAGGGGGCCCCTTTTCCTAACTCAATAAAAGATAACAAAATAATATACTAACCCACTCTGTAGGACAAGTCATAGAAATCAACCCTGACAGATAACAATAATAAATTTATGAAAGTTTAAAAAGTTAAACCACTGAACCTCAGGAAAGCCCAGAGCCAAGATGGTTCCAGAGACTCAGCTTCTGCAGTCAAGGAATGTCCTCATCAGAGCATGCCCTGTAAAGCCATTTATTCCAACAACCCCAGCCTGTGCCTGGCCCAGACTTCTAACATCTTGAGAGAAAGAATCTGATTGATCCAGAGCATCAGGGTGCTTCCCAGAGAGGAGGATAAGGATTGTCCTCCACAGAAGGGTCTGCAGCTGATCAATGACCTTCTCATAGAGTCCGGGGGCTAAGATGACCGTCAGAGACACAATTCCCATGGGATGAAGCCATCTCACCTCTTGTTCTGTGCAGCTGGCAATGGTATTTGCCCATCACTAAAGATCTTACTGATTAATGCTTTTGGCATCAAGAGAAAGTACAGTTCTTATTCTTCCTCCTCCTCCTCCTCCTTCTTCTTCTTTTTCTTCCCGAGACTCTGACTGAATATGAGAGCAGGCATTCAGCTCTGCAAAACCATACAGAACCCAGGCATGTTGGTGCATGAATATAATCCCAACATTCTGGGAGGCTGAAGCAGGAAGATCCCAAGTTCCAATCCAGCGTGGGAAACTTGGTGCCTTAGTAAGATAGTGAGATCCTATCTCAAAATAAAAACACGTTTACATTTTTAGAGGAGTATAGATAGTCAGTGCAAAGGCTCTGGGTTCAATTCTCGAAAAAAGAAAAAGGAAAGGAAAGGAAAAAAAGATACAGAGGCCAACCTATAATCAGAAATTAAGTCTATCACGCAGAATTAGTTTGTTTGGCAAGCCAGTCACTGTCTTGATTGGCAACCTCTTAACATGGCTTTTAAAATTATGATATATGAATGTGCACAAAATGATCTAACAGAAACCCACATAGCCCCACCCAGATTCAACAGATACTAACATTCTGCCCTTTAGTTTTGGAGTTTTTTTAAAAAGGAATAAAGCATTACAGCTTCAGCCAAATCCCTGCCCCATCTCCCTCCTCAGTCCTGGCGCACTGTCCCGAGGTGGGCGGTGCTGTTTCCCAGCTGACTCTGGTCCCCTGCTCTCCTTGTCAGCCCTCTGGTGCAGAGATGGAGTTACTCGTGCTCTCCGATGGCCGCCATCCCTGTTCTACATGGGACTCCCTCTCATCCTACTCACTTATTCCTCCCACTCCGGTTCCCCACCCCACCACATTAGTGAGGCTCACCTCTCTGTTCCCATGGGTCCCAGGACACAAGAGGGCCTTTCTGTATGCAGACACTGTCTGTGACCTCAATTCACTGACACCACAGTGGGTATGCATCCGTCTATCCATCCCCAAGCAAGGTGGAAGAGAAAGGTGCAAACCGAGGGGATGGTTAGCTGGGCTTGTCCTCGAGGCAGGGGGCTCGCTGCACAGGTACACACACACACAGGCTCACACACACCTTGCTAATGGTAAAAGATGACTCCTAGAGCTCTGGCACAGTTACACCCAAGCCAGCACCTCCTTCCTGAAGCCTGTCCTGCTCACCCTAAACCACGCAGGTCTCCTTCCCTTCTGGGGACTGCAAATCTCACTTATTCCTCTGCTTGTCTAGTTATAGTCTCTTACTCTCCCCAAGGGTACTGAAATCCTGGGTGTCCCCATCACTTTCTATGGCTGAGAAACACTGCCCAGCACCCACAGTGGAAGGGAGGAGAGGTTTATTTTGGCTCATGCTTCAGAAGTTTCAGTCCATGTTTGGCAGGACACAGGCACGGACAGGACACATGGTGGAAGTGGAAGGGCCTGGGTGGAAGAAAATGGCTCACCTCATGGTGGCCGAGAAAGCGGGATGAGCCAGGGAGGGAGATACTTTCTTCCTGGTCACATCGCAGTGACCTGCCTCTCCTGACCAGATCCCACCTCCTCACAGCAAGTCAGCCCCAGCACCCCCATGATTCAGCCACCTTCCCAAAGCCTGGCCTATGAGAGACAGCATGAGGCTCATGGGGGCATTGGATGTGAACCATAACCCTGTGGAATAGAAAGAACATCTCTTATTCCTTTGGTCACCTTTGCTCATCCTTTGCCCAAAGGCAGTGTGGCAGGGGTGGGGTGGGGGGTTGAGTTGTTGAGTTTTAGTTAATTTATGCTTGACTCTCTCTGTTTTAGGGATAAGTCATCTCCCAACAAAAACTTAACATGCCAAGTTCTTAGAAGTCCAGAAAGGAAACTCTGAATAGGCCAGCTCTTGGGCAGAACTTTTTTTTGTGTTTTTCATTTTTATCGGTACCAGGGATTGAACTCTTGACTGCATACTTGCAAAGCAGGCACTTACGCCACTGAGCTAAAGCTCCTATCGGGCAGAACTTTTCATGGGGGTGGTAAACATCCAAGGGTGAAGGGGGTGGGCAAAACGGAAGGTGCAAAGGGTTGCACAGGTGCCTGGGGCTCAGAGAAGGAACTCCCAGCTCAGTGCAGAGCAAGGCAAGCGAGGGTGCCTATGGATGTGGCATCCAAGAAGAACCTGAGGAGGCCCAGCAAAGCTTCAAACTGCAGTGGACGAGGGGACAGTGACTGAC